CCCCCCCCCCCACTATACCTCAGCCACTGGCTCCTGCTCCTACTCCAAACATGAAGAGATGTAGATCGATCCCATTCTATGGTGTTAATAACAAACCTGGAATGTGTGAATGAGGTTATTTGCATTGTTCTACTACAAAAAAATGCTGTGTGAATGACCCCTCAGTTTTCCCCCTTGGCAAGGAAGGATCTTCAATCTGACAGAGGCAAAGGATCTTCCAAAGAATTGATCCTGGCCAGCTTCTGGACATCTGTCCAGTGAATCTTAAGGGAAGAAAAGTCCTTAGTGACATACACTGTATGATGACACATGCCAGTACTGCCCTCCTCGTCAGTCTAGAAAATATAGATGTCGTTTTTACTAGATAAACACTATAAATACTAGAGTAATGTTCCATGGGACGTCATTGCTGTACTTAATTTGGGCTAAACTGTCCACCCCAGGCACCTGAAACTTGCTTTTGTCCTCTTTTGGTCATATCTTTGTTAGACTTTGCTCAACGCTCAGAAATAATCCCAAGGGTTTTAACTCTTTGATAGTAATGCCTGACATCTTCTCTCCCACTCTCTTCCCAACATCTTCCATTGACTGTCTTTGGTAGGAACCATCGTGGTGATAAGGTACCAGGCAGGTGAGATTTCTTGGTTCCAAATTTTGCTTGCTTAATGGAGCTCTTTGGGTGCCTTTACGTAGGCCACTTTCTTTGTGCTGAGTCTACCTCAGAGGAGTATTAGACTACAGTGGAATAAATACCTTCCATCACCATGGATGCTTCCTCAAGTTATTTCGAAGAAAGCTTGGCTCTTATTTGATATAAGATAGTGGTTGTTAACCCATGCAATTGAATACAATTTTCAGAGTAAAAAGAAGCATTTTTTTTTTTGCCGTACCCCTGCCCCAAATCCCATCCAGGAACTCCTCCCAAGGGCCCAAAGTCTGCAGGTTAATGCTTGATATAGGGGACACAGTATTCTGCACAGTACAGAATAGAGTTGGGTAGCTGCAATGCTTGTGGGTTCCCATCTGTTTTTATTACTACCCTGGAACAACTAGAATCTGATGTTGCAAACATATGTTTTAGTTCAGAGAATTCTGAACATAGGAATTCATGAACGATTAGGAGAATACTGGTAAGTTCACAGTCCTTGCACATGGAAGTCTACTCCTGGTTACCCCAAGTTTCCTTCATTTCAGCAGTTGAAAATGGGGCAACTTCATCTTGTTGCTCCTGTTGTTCAGTAATTGTGAGTCAGAAATCTTGGCTGATCTACTACAAATTGCTTAATGTTCCACCAGTAGATCCAGGGCTTCCTTGTTTAAAAACCAGAGGTAGAAAATGTGTGAACTTTGAATGCTGTTGGATTGCAGTTCCCATCAATCTCAGCCTGTATAGCCAGGAGGGAGTGATTATAGCAATTGATGTCAATCATCCACAATGCAGAGTGGATGGAATTTGTGAGATGGATGGCATACAATAGTGTGGAGTAGGAGAGGCTTATGTAGTTCTTTGCCTCCAGACAGGGAAGGGTTTATTGTAAACGTGATAGGGATAGGCAGGCTCTTCCAGGTTTCTGTGCATGCATTATGCAAACTAGTATCTGCTGGCATAAATTTTGCAACTGGTTTGGACAAGATTACTTGACTGAAATATCCCTTCCTGGCTTTGAGAGATTCCCCCCCCCTCCCCTTAATTGGTATCCCATTCTTTATTGAAATGTTCTTTGTCTTGGCCAAAGCAGTACAGTATGTGGGCTATCCTTCGAGATGCTTTTGTAATACTTTTGCATAACTGGAACAAAGACAAGAGCCTCATACAGACTGAAGTTATGGTATTAAACCAAAAATTACTATTGGTTATGGCTGTCTGTTGTGTGCCTGGTTTTATTTGTTTTTGCTGTTAAGTGCCTTTGAAGTCAACTCCAACGTAATGGTGACCTATCTGACAGCATAGGGCTTTCTTGGCAAGACTGAATCAAAGGAGGTCTGTTGTTGCCTTCCGTACTGAGTAGGGTCTCTGCCACCAGCCAGCTGGGATTTAGAGTGCTTGTTAGTCATTAACTGCTATCCATAGGCATTAAATAGTTAGCCTGTGTTCCTGACTTTGGTGGATACTTCTTTGCATTTGCTGCACAGTTTGAGATCTGGGAAAGATATGAAGACTGGGAATGGACTGGGGGAGTGAATTTTTCGATGTTGCTAACCTGCTTGTGGGGGGAGTGGTGTAGCAGTTTGAGTGGTATAGTGGTTTGAATGTTGGACTATGGCTTTGGAGACCAGGGTTTGATTCTCAGCTCAGCCATGAAACCTACTGAGTGGCCTTGGGCAAGTCACATGCTCTCAGCCTCAGGAGAAGGCAGTGGCAAACCTCCTGTGAACAGATCTTTCCAAGAAAACCCTATGATAGTCTCACCTTAGGATCACCATAAGTCAGAAACAACCTGAAGGCACACATCAACAAAAACTGCAGAAAACAACTTCCTGAGTTATTGTCCTGGTCCAACATTCAAATCATTGCATCCCCCTGGAACTCTGCTTGATCCTCCATCAAGTGCCAATAATAATGGTTTTGTGGGGAATACGATGGTAGGTAGACATTCCTTTAAAATGCTGAAAAAAAAGACTTTAAAATTAATTTCAATTGAAATCAGTAATCACACTCTGTGCTTCTCTAAGTTTCTCTGCATTTAGATTGGTGCAGACATACAAAGTAAACAGTGAAGACAGACAGGAATGGCCTGGAGGGACGTGGGGCTGGTGGGAAGAAAAGTGACACAGCATGAACTAACTTTGTTGATATATGAGTGAGAGAGATGGTGTCAGGAACTGGGAAGCACAAGTCCCCACGCCTTTTTAAAAAATGTCATTTTGACAGTTTATAAAGAGTCTTACCTGCCCCAAGAACAGAACATAGCTTTAATATCTGATAAGTACAGTTTGTCACATTGAGTTGGGCTTTTTTGCCTTAAAAGGAACCAGTAGGAGAAATTGGAGTAAAGCCATTTGAGCAATTTCCTATAATTATTGTGGGTGTACACAGCAGTACCGGTATTTTAATTGAAGCTTAAGCTACTTAAGGTACGCAACTGACTCACAAATCGAAGTAGCTTTTGGAAAAGGACAAATTAGAGCTGTTTGAAGTGCATGCATGCTCAGCTTGGGACAGGTTTAGAACAGCTGGGTGTTATGCCTGTGCAGTTTGCATTCAACGTTGAACAAATATTCAGAAGTGCTGAAGTACTGACAACAGTTGCTTTATGTAATATTGCATATGACTCCTCTACCCATAAGTTGCATGACTAGCATATAAATCGGATGGGGATTGTGTGGCCCACCAAATATTATTGAATTCCAACTCCAAGCATTCCTCACCATTGGATGCGCTAGCTAGGCCTACCAGGAGCTGCAGTTTAGTGTCTGCAGAATTCCCTCTGGGATAGACATGAAATGTCTTCCATTGTTAGATGGTGGTCATCTCCACATTTCTGTATTTATCACTGGGCCTCTTGATTTGATTGGCAATCTGTGCCATATCTTTCTTTCCAAACTCTTCTGCAGACTGTAGTAGTGGAAAGGTGGAAGCTGAGGTTGGTTCTGTTGGTAGGTACTGGATTTTTACCAGAATCACCATACCATCCTGAATACACACTTGAGCTCTTCTGAATTTGGAAGCAAAATCAGGTCGAGCCTGATTGGTACTTGAGTTGGAAAGTCCCAAGGAACACAAAGGATCTCTGGGTAGGAATCCTATCTGATAAGCCAGAGAGCTGTTGCACCCATACATGGTTATATGATCTGGTGGAGTAAAAAGTATCCTCCTATGTTCTAATTTACTCATGCGCACTTCATAAAAATGGAAGGGATCTGTATGAGAGGTATTGCATTTGGTGTATCTGTAAGCCTGTAAGCCCATTTGGATTCTCTTCCTTCTCAACATAGCAAGTGAATGTTGGGTTGTTGTCTGTTCACATTAACAGGTTATGTGATAACCTGCAACTTTAAAGTTGCTACATCGCCGCAATGCTTCATACATTATTTATAAAAATTGTCTAAATATTTTTCTGAGCTATTTATTCTCTTTGATAGCCATTTGACCTTCCAGTTTGCTGTTGGTTTGAAAGTGAAATACCCACTCAAGGTAGAAACCTCTGCTTACTCAGGGTGCTTCCATGCAAAAACATGTTTGTAGGTTAGAAATTTTCACACACACACACACACACACACAACTTTGAGCTTCTAGGAACCACAGAATGTTGAATACATAAAAGTTTTTTTTAAATGATGATTATCTAATTTCCTGAAGAGAGAATTTCTGGATTCACACTGAATGTCAATGATAGGTACCCATGTCCTTGTTGTTGCTTATGGTGGGAGATGGAAGGGAGTAGAGAGCTGGCATGGTGTAGTAGTTTGGGCATTGGACTATGATTCTGGAGACCAGTGTTCGAATCTCCGCTCAGTCATGGAAACCCACTGGATGGCCTTGGGCAGTTCACTTTCTCAGCCTCAGAGGAAAGCACAGGCAAATCCACTCTTGCCAAGAAAACCCTGTGATAGGTTTGCCGTAGAGTTGCCTTAAGTCAAAAATGACTTGGAGGCACACAACAACATGGTGTTTGTATGTGTATAATGTCCAAACAGAGCTATACTGAAAAAATCTGAAAAGAGTATTCAGACCCTCAATACCCCAAATAATGCTCGTTCTTATTCCCTTAATGGTTCTTATAACCTTGCTCCTTTTTTAAATGCTAAACCTGCTGTAACAGCACCGTTCTCCCTCCCTCATTCATAACTCTTAATATACTCTATTTTTCTTTTTTTTTTAAAAAAAAACCAAAAACCAACCCAAATCCATCTTTCATCCCAACGTTCACTTCTGCTGCACAACACCTTTATTGTCCTCAAGTGAAGTAAGTAAGAAGCCCAGAATGAACCAGGCTGGATGGCAGATGAGTGTCTGCTTCAAGGAACGTAGATTGCTTTCACCCTGCAGGTCCAACTGTCACTACATCCTCCCGAAATGTGATCATACTTGCCCTGACTGGTAGAAGTATTCTTAGCTAGAAACTTCTACTGTATAATGAAACAAAACAAAAAAAACAAAAACCCTAAATGCTGAAGCATCATAGCTATAAATATATATGCACAGGCAAGTAAAATTAATTCACCTTAGGAAGGTGTTTGAGAAGTAACTCTGTTTCCAAATTTGACATGATCCCCTGCCTTTTATAGCTTATGTTCAATCTATTCTAATATTTTACAGTATTCTCTATCTCTGAATTTCTCTCTTCATCTGTGCTGCTTTGACTTGCTGTAAAACATGGGTAAGGATTACTGAGTTTCAGACATTTGGGAAGGGCATGTGGTGTCACCAATTGCAGTACCCATGGCACCTCCTGGGATTGTGATGGAGGAATCAAGTATTAAGTTGGGTTTAGGTAGTGAGGAAATCAAAATCTAAGTCAACAAGAGTTGAATTCCAACCATGAAATAGATGGGGCAGATAACATTAAACAGAATCTGTGAAGAAACTGATCCAGGCTCTGCATGTCAAGATGCTGGTTGGAAGTTGTGGGTTCATATAGTCTGTTCCATAGATGTCACATAGGAGGAGAACTGGATGTATCAGTTAAAGCCATTTACAGCTTTCCAGTTAGTCTGAGGATTTACTATTTGTACTCTGTAAGAGCTGTAGCATTTTTCAGATTGAGTTGGCTACTTCGTGCTCTTTCAACCTTATTGAGTTCAGTGGAGATTCAGTCCCTAGTTCACATATTTTTCTGTGCCTTTGAAACATACCTCCTCATGATAGGTTAAAATTTTTCCAGGTGTACATAGGCACAGTGACCTTATGTTGACAGTGATAGCAGTAACTATGATCTTTATTAGAATCACTCAATGAATGTAATGATTTTAATGTAGGATTTTTTAAAATTTAATATAGGAAGCCTGCAGACCTTCAGAACTTGGCTCCAGGGACTCACCCACCCTTTATAACATTTAATAATGAGGTGAAAACAGATGTAAACAAGATTGAAGAGTTCCTTGAAGATGTCCTCTGCCCACCCAAGTAAGTGTCATTGGAGTGTGTGTGTAATATATGTATGTATATTGGAAGATGATATTTTAGTGATTGCTTTTTGTGTGAGTTTGTCTTGATCAGTCTTGCTAGTTCTCCATGTGGCCTATGTGATGTATTGGTTGGGCAGAGTGTTTTGTTGCAAACCAATTTCTCAAGAGTGTGTTTCTAAGAGAGGGATAGCACAAGTGGCAGCTCTACCTTTTGTAATCATAGAACATATAAGCTGCCCCATTCTATTAAAAATGTTCCCAGTAGGGTTTATGTGTAATAGCTGCAAAAGTCATAACTTTTCCAGCTTCTAATTCAAGCTGCTACCTATCTCCTCTATTAGGAGACTAAGATTATTCTTCAGGTAATATGTTTCTGTTGACTCCCATTGTGCAGTCTTTTTGGAAAGGGTATTTCGGTCTTAGTTCTATACATCTAAAGCTATTAATGAACCAGTTGCATGACATTAATTGCTGAGTTAAAACCTTAATTTTTTAAAAAAATCTGTTTATATTTATATTGCAAAACATAAAAGTTTATGTTCATCCTGAAGAATTCTAAAATTGGAATTTGGGTGATAGAAAAAGATTTAATGGATAAAAGTGGTATGTTTGGTGTGCCAGTAGGGTTATCATCAGCCAAACAGGTTCTGAACCCATATCAGTTGGCTTCTCTCTTGAGACTGTAGCCAATCTCATTCTGTTTATGTTCCACATCCAGTATTGGACTGTGCATTCTTACCATTGCCCACATCCTGTTAGTGGGAGAAGGTATCAGGAAAGCAAATACTTAGAGAAAACTTTGTCTGATTTGCAAATCATTAAACATACCCAACTATGGCAAGCAAGTATCTCAACAGAAAAGAACCATTGTGTTTCTTTGTTCACCTATAAGAGGAGAGGCCAAGCAAGATTGAAGATTACCAGAGATTTTCTGCTTCATATACTACACAAATACAACTGTACAGATACTGCTGGGTCTTGAAATGGAACCAAGTCTGGATCCCTGTTTGAAGACTAATTTTCCAGGGCAATTTCCCTTCAGATTTTGAAACTTACTTGAGAGAATGTATGTGTAGGCTTTGTTTGTTAAAAGGCTATTGGTATATGATGTAAAATATAACAGTTTTTAATCCAAGCTAGTGCACGAATATAATGAAAACTGGTGAACTCATTGAAAAACAAACCCTGACGTGATCTGTCATCTCACAGACCTCTTTGGAGAGAACTAGA